TAAATAAAATGTTTATATTAATAAAAAAAATTTTAAATTATTACGGAGCAAACGTGATGGTCGTGTGTGTAATACAAATCAACTACTGCGGTTGAAATAGTCATTGGTGTCAATTCAAAAAATAATCTACTTCTGTTTCTGCCACTATAATACAATAACCTCTCAACTAGAGGAAGAGGTGGAAGGTCTTTAGATGTTAATAAATTGGTGGTAAGGAAGAAGTAATATATAAAATATCTATATTTATGGTTTATGTCTGCAACCTTATTATCAAACACTGATGGAAAAGCGACGGTTGATTTTCTAATATTTTTTAATTCAATACGTCTGATGGTTCATTATTATAATATGTTGTTGTAAACAATTTAAATACATTTTAAACATGATATTTTGATTATTTATGACCATATTTTTATAAATGATAAATCTATGTTATAAAATTGTTGTACAAATAGTGTTCGTAGATTTAATTAATTTAACATTCAAGGGAAATCGTGTAAAAATAATACTAAATTAATGTTGAGACAGTCTGAGGTCAATAAAATTATGTTTTTGAAAATAATAATTTACTAGATTTTTGTACTATCCGTAAAAATAAACTAATATTTTGTTTACTAGTGTAGATAATACGTATTACATATAAACATTTTTTTATTTCTCTTTGATTACACTACAAAAATAATTAATATTTTGATTTTTCTCTATATTATTAAACTGTTATATTATATTATATATATAATATATGATGACTGTGCAACTATAATACTTACTTATTAGTTATTACTTATTAGATACTTAGTTTGGGTATTACAATTATTATATGATTGCATTATATAATAATGTATTGGTTTTACTTGAAACTATGCTATTAATTATTATTGACTTAAATTTAAACTTATTTTTGATAGAAATATGTCAAAAATATTCAATAAATTGAGAAACTGTAAGACATAAAATAAAATTTAATATTATAATCATAATCTAAAATAATAAATTGGCTTTATAAAGCTTAAATCTTGTTTAAAATAATCAATTGCTTAAAAAAATTTAAAAAGTTGGTACTAAAAAAAATAGGAAAACATCATTTGTATTTACTTTTAAATAGATTATTGTTGATTCGTACTGAAGATATCTTATAATTAGATCTTTTCAATAATATTGGATATAATCAATAACCACGTAAAACAACTCTAATGTAAAAATGTATAATATTCATGTACAATATATTATAGGGTTACTTTCGTAGATGAAGTATTATAATTATTTGTTACCGATCTTAGTTAACCACAACCACGATGTTCCGGGTCCTAAAACTGGGGCCTACATACATAATGTAGATCAGTATTGCAAGAATACGAAATAACGTCAAAAATTTAGTTCAAGACCGCACAAATTAATAGAAACGATAAAATCCCTTATATATCACTGTTAAAGGTTATTTTTTAATGTAAATTATGTCATAACAAATACACGGAATAGTAGATTAATGTGTCAAATGACCTAGTTACAAAAAAAAAAAAAAAACAACCAGACACCCAAATATCGTTTAGGAAGCGTATCGACTAACTTACTGGACAACATAGATATTTCGAGGTTTTGGAAAATGTCACGTTAATGAGGAACAATTTTGAACAGTTATCGCGACACTTCTGCGGATGTACCTTACATTAGGGTATTAATACGTCATTGACCATATGCGGTCAAATAATTATTGACAACATGAAGAGTAGACATATAATTGAATACTACCTAAGCATAATATTGATTAATCTAAAAATAGGTGTATATTATATTTATTGTTAAACTAGAATTAACTATCATAAACAAATTAAGTTATATTTTAATAGCTATAATAAAATATCCATAATTTTACTTTTAGTTGGAATAATTCTATATCTGTTGGAATACAAGTTACAAAGTCCCAAATAAAATAGTGTTAAGGATAGGTAATACTGTTAGTATTATGCAACCTTAAAACAAAACTTAATTTATATAAACGTCAATTATTGTATTATTATGTTAAAAACATAATAAATTGATACTCTGAAGTCAAGTCGTGTCATAATCTTTAAAATTTTTAAAAGTTACTAAGATATTTAACATAAAATATGCATGTATTTATAACAGTTGAATTTACAAAATATCATATTTCCCTTAATTTTAATATAGTTCACAATTTGCGCATATTTATTATAGAGGGTGTTTCTAAAATAAATGAGGTTAAAGTCATTTTTTTTTTTTTTTTTTAATATAATTATTTGAAATCTGATATAGGTAATTATCAAGTATATTTAAAGATAAAGAATATATTTTAAATAATTGAGATCTTTTTTACTACTTAAAAAATAATCACGAATGTTATTATTTTTTTTTTTTTTATGGAGTTTAGTTTTAAAGTAAAAAAAAAATTGCAAACTTCCAAACAATAATTTTATTTTATTTTTAAATATTGATGTGTTTAAATAAAAGTTCAAACGAGAAGTTTTCGATTTATTAAACATCATAATAAGTGAATAAACTTATTAAATAACGTTGATATAAATATATAAATATTATACTGTGTAATGTACATCATGAAATATACTATTATGTTTTGAACTAAGAGTCTCTACTCACTGATTATTTCGCTCAGCGAAGAACATTTAAGTATGTTTTACGAGCTGAGGGTTTATTATTTCTATTATAAAAATCTGAATAAAAAATTACAAATTAAAATCATCAATGTTTTGATAATGATATTTTTTTTTTTACACGTGTTCAACTGAAAGCTCTTCTTATCAATTTTAAAATTTTAATTGGTTACAACATTAATCATTTAGCCAAACTATTAAAACAACATACAATAATGACATCTCCGGGATTTCCATATTAATTTCATGATTATTGATTGTTTCAAGATTTTCATTTAAATGATGTTCATAAATTTTAAATTAATAATAATTAATAATGATGAATAAACAATTAATAATAATGTAAACTAAGTTTTGTTATATTATATAGTTGTTGATAGTGATTTGAGAAAATAAATATTATTTTGTATTTTGTTTATATATAAATTATAATATAATACTCAAATACATACTATAATATTACAATAAATCATTTATTAACAAAAGGAAAGATTGATTATATTTAAACTATAAGCAACTAAACATTAATCACTAAGAGATCCTTAAATATTAAAGCTTATAGACTATAAGTTAAAGTTCTATAATGTTTTAGATATTCAGGAAAGTGATAAATGTATTAGTTATAAAATGTCATGTTTTTCTCTGGTTTATGCTAAAGTAATTTGGAATAGTCAAAGTAGTTCAATCTTCAAAATTCCAAGCAACTTTTTAATTCATAAATATATTTATATATATATATATATATTCATATTTAATACCGATTTAAAACATTTTGACTTTTTTTTGAGTAATCTTATAAAAACTTTTAAAAATTTCGAAACTGTTTTTGTTCTAGTATTTATAGAAAAAAAAAAATTCCTACATTAAAATGATTTTAAATTGAATAATGAAATATATGAGTAAAATTTATTAGTTTTTTACAGCATTAATATCAAAAATACCTTGTTAATTAATTTTTTTTTCTGACAAGTGTTTTTGTTACACATTTTGATAAATTTAATATTATACAATATTATAATAATGATTTATCTTGATACGATTTATTTTATTGCATTATTATTTAAAAAATATTAACTGCAGAAAATAAAGACATCAAAACATTACTTAAACCATAATAATTATTATTGTCTTATAATTTATTTATAAGTCAAGTGTCCCCTCTCCAAATAATTGATATAAATTATATTTTATTGTAACTTAACAATATTAAATTATTTTGCCGTATCAAAATTTAAGATCTAATAATATTGAGTCTAAAATCTAGATCAATTAAGTATTTCAAATTCGATTAAAATATTTAATCAATAAATGTGAATGAATTTATTAGTTCAATCAAAAGTGTGTTTTATGTGTATTTAAATAAGATTTAGAATTTGAACATTAAATTCAAAACAATTGTGTGCAAAAATAGAATAATTTATTAATTGTTTATATTATAATTTACACATACGCACTTCGTTGAATATTTTTCTGTGTATTTTTCTATGGATTACTTTTAAGAAAAACGGACAATGTAGGATATAAAGGAAGCTAAAAAAAAAAAAAAATAATAATAATAATATCAAAGGACTAAAAATATAATCAACTTAACTTCAATAAATGTTTTTAATATACACGAGTTAATAACTTGAGTTTTATATTTATATATATGTAGAATATATAATGTTTATTTATAAAATAATTATAAAGGTTTTCGTTGTATACAAAACATAAAAGTAACATGTAACCTAACCTATATATATGTATATATATTAATAAATCATATTAAATATAACATATATTTATACATATGTATAATGTAAATAATAATATTAAAATATATGTTGGGTTTTTTAAATAAGTTAAATAGATTGTATACTGTATTCAGTAGCTCTTACTTGATATCTGTTAAATTAATTATCACCTAATACTTAAGTATCTATACACCTTAATATAACTAATTCGTATGTTTTGGTACGAGATAAATACAATCAAATAAAAATGTACGTAAGTATAGTTAAAACATAATATTTTAGATTAATAATTTCACTTTTTTCTATTTTTTCTATTTGTATTTTCTAGTTATTTTAAAAAGACGTCATAATCACATACTTTGATTTCGTCTAATTAAACAAATTATAGTAAATTTGTATTTTTTACAAATGGAGATATCACATACAACTGATATGATGACTTCTTAAATAAAATTAATACATTGTTGAATTCAATCCATTTGCTCATCGTCGGTAATATAAACTTTTTAAATACAATAAATTCAAAGTATTAAGTGTTTTAAACATATCTTAACATTGCCACTATACGTATGGATATACGTACAATAAATATTAAATAATAAATAATAAAAAATATTTTTTCTTAAGTGCTTAAATCTTATCCTTTTTTCATATTTTCACCACATGAATAATGTTCATTACACCATTCTGTCCAGTTCTTGGGCAATAATCTTGTGTATAAATTATCTAAACGAAAATTGGTTACTTCAGTAAATGTTGAAACAAAAGATCTTATTTTCTTGCTCGGTATATAATTCGATACAGGTGATGCCGCCCTAGAAAACATAAATAGATACACAAAATGTTTTAATTTTAGATTTTAATTTAAAATGTTTTATAATATTTTTAATCGACAATAATTCGGATTATCATTGATAATATTAGAATAAATAACTCACCAATTCAACCAAATAAGTAACAAACTCGGACGTTTTGCACCAGCCATACGGCAAGACACTCTCTCTACACATTTTTCTGACCGTATAATTTGTCTAAAGCTGGTCATTTCAGTTCCCATTACATCCATTTGGTCTGGACGACTTCTTCTGTTTCCATCAATATCTGTATTGTCATTTCCGCCTGGATTCCCCGGGGTAGTTCCTGGACCAAAATTATTCGGTACTAAAACCGGCTGGTTTAGTAGTGCATTCATGTTCGCTAAACGCGATAATATCATCGGGAACGTAAAGATTGATAATAAAGCTGGAAGAAACAGGGTCAATTTCACCATTTTCATTAGCAATAGGGCCTTGATGGCTATCACAAGTACGAGAAGTTTGAGTTTGAACAACATGAGCAACATAGCCTTAATAAAACCTAATGCTTTCAACTTGGCCATCGCGATCTTGACCAACGCTAATATACCTATTTTTGACATATCAACAGACATTTTTTGTTTGCTAGGATGCCGAATTTCGGCTATTATGGGAACGGGGCGTGATGACTGTGGCATAGGTTCACCGTACCAATCCATCATGCTGTCTCCAACTGACCATCCGTTGTTTGGATTTCGATAACTACCAGAATCGTAACTAGAGGCCCCCACGTTACTACCTCCGCCACCAAAGTCAAACGTGCTTCCATAACCGGTCGATCCGTCTTCATCGACAGTAATTTCTGTTTCAATTGGTGTCGGCCCATATTTATTTAATTGCCTGTGATTGGTATTGTACCTATAAAAAATTCGATACTAATTATTATTATTATCATTAATTTTTATTTAGAACTTTAAATTTTTAAATATTTGATTTATTTATTATACAATATACATATTACACATGTATATGTAAGCTAACGGTATTATTTTTGTATTCACGTGATAAATACAATTGTTTTAATGGAAAACAAATATTTTTATAGTTATCATTCTTTTTTTAAAAGTATTTTGACTCGCGCAAATATGAAATGGTATAAAAATAGCTTTAGAATGATACGGTAGATATTTTTTTAAGGTTTCTTTCAACGATTAAAAATCAAATTATTTAAGTTTTGAGTGATTGATTTTTGATACAAACAATATTATGTTGAAGTATAGATAGAAATACTTTTATCATTGTGTTCAATTATTAAAAGTAATATATTTTTTTGATACTAATTTATATTTTATATGATGATTGATGATATTATTTTTATTAAAATCCCTAACAGTTGTTATATTTGTCATACCAATTTACAATAAAATGAGAAACTCACACTTATATATACACAAGATAATTATTTTATTGATGTATACTTATTATTTCAAAACTTTTTTAATATTTATGAAAATTTAGTTTTATTCATAGTTTTCAGTAAAAATAAAATAACAATTTTTTAATATTTTTTATCATATTATTTAAGTTTTTTTTTTTCAAATAACAAGATAAATTTTTATTTTTATATTCTGAAGCAAAATATTTTTAAAACATTTTGACTCATAAAAATCGAAATTTAGAGTAATTTTTGAGTTTTAACCGTTTTAAGTAATTTAAGTATAAGTTAAAAAAGTATAATATTAGACGAATAGGTACATTGCAACATTTTAGTTTACTAATCCACTAAACTAAACTATAAAAATTTATAACTTATAAAATAATCTTCTTTATTTTAATATTCATGCGTTGAATACTTCGAAAATATTCAATTTTGGAACATGAAATTAAAATGTATCTTTTCATTCAAAAAAAGTAAAACCTTTAAAAAATGATAACAATAAAATATTATTATTATTATTATTATTTTTTTTTTTAATGTTTTTTGCTTCAACTGAAAATTGTGTAAGAAAATATTTTAAAAAGGTTGATAGATTTGGAGTGTTGTTTGATTACTGCTTTAATCCTAAATATATCCTTTATATATTAACATGTATATACATATATCATAATATGTACCTATAATTATGTTTTTTATTTTATTTCAAAATCAGGAGCTTATCTTAAACTATATAAATAATTAAATTACTTTTAATCTGTTATTCATAATTATGTTGAACTTCTCAATAAATTTTACTCAGAAATTAGTTAAATTAAAATATTTGTAGAGCAAGTTGGCGTAATTAATATATTAAACATATTTTCATACTTATTCCATTTTGAAAATCCACCATTTAACAACACGCCAGAGTGCTGATCTTCTTCGAATTCAACTTCTTGATCATCCTTACTGAAATAGAACGGATTTCTGATATACCTGCCACGAGTTACAAATGCTGGCATACTGGTTGTTAGCGAAGGGTATAATTTAGGATTTGCAACTGATGATGGAGTCTCGACAAAAACATCCGATGTCAAAGTTGAAAGTGTATTGTAGACGTCAGAATTCGACTTTCGTTCAGAAGTTTTAAGTTCTACACTTATATCCTGAACCAATTTAGATTTATCTTGCAGCTCTTTTGAAGTTCGATTTACTTGTAGTAGAAGAGGTGCAACGGTTGATATATTGAGCTGAGCAGTTTTGACAAATAAAGAGTCATTGAATAACATCAATGTTGCGGCCATAAATGTTAGTATCTTGACACTCATTTTTCAAACAAATATTTTCGATGTACAAAAATTTCAAATTTAAGTGAATGGTATGATGATATTATCAACGTTAAACACCTGTAAACGTTTGAAAAATTATAATAATATTATTATTAATATTTCTTACAAATAGTCGTATTTATATTCTTATATTATTAGTATTATTATATAGTATTTACTCATAATCATATAACATGAGATCATTTTTTTAATACCAAATACTGAAGTATATTACAATTATAATTTATACTATTTACTGATTTTAATAAGCCTTACACTGACATTTAAATAAATAAATAAATAGTTGTTTCATTTTAATTTAATATATAAAACAAATAATTTAAATTATATTGTAACTAATAAGCGTCCATATAAATTTGTTACTAAAAAACATGTTTAAAGTAATAGAAAAATATCGCTTAAAAAGGAACTTAATATCTTACGTATGTCATATGTTTACAATTTTACATCGACACATTCATCGTTAAATAATTGTTGAAAACTAAAAATAGAACTTGCAATAAATATTTAAAAACAATTACAACTGAGTTCTTCAAAATTTTAGCGAACAAAAGCAAAACATTTAACACCTTTACTAAAAAGTTTTTGAGCTAAGCACTTCACTCGTTGACAACAAACTGCGACTGATCAAGTTCAGTGGCATGCTAATGTCGATTTTCTTGAATGACGAAAATCAAAGACAATAGTGTCCATGGAGAAGGAGTGACGACTTAATTGGCTAGAGAATCTAGAACAATACGAAATATTTACAACGATTTTTCTTTCATTGTAATTGAATTAAATTGGTTAACCATATGTAAAAGGAAGATTTTTGTAAACAGTCCTATGTTTTAAACGAGAGTGAAGTCGAAATTATTGAACCGCACCACTGCTCATTAACAGCGTATATTGAAAAGAAATTAAATTGAATGTAATATAATTATGACACATGGACGCGTTTAAAACCGCTAGAAAAATTAAAAATAAATTACGGAATAACAATAATAATAAATTTCGAGAGAAAATACTTACAATATTACGATGGTGACTGTTGAATGATATTTAAATATTTTATAAATATTAAATTGTGTTTCATTTGAAATAAAAAAAAATAAAAATGTGTTAATATTTTGAGTTTATACATATTTTATACTATATTAAATTCTATAAGAAGCTATGTTATGAATGGGAATAATGATTTATTTGGCTGATTTTAGATTGAAAATAGAAATAATATATTATATTATACTAACACATTTTTATCCAAATTTGTATTATATTATTTTGGAAAAATTTTTAGAAAAAAATTGAAGAAATATAATATGTTAAGCCTCGCGACACGGTGTAATGTGGTGTGTGATTGAAGCATGGTTAAAATGTAATTCTTTATACACAAAAGCATTTAAAATATTTCAAGTTATTCATTAAACAAAAAATAAATAATTATTGATGTTTTGAAAATAAGATGACTTTTTTTTTTATTTACAACCAACGCAATATTATTATATTTCTATATATAGGAAAAACATACTTTAATTTTACTGAAATGGATTCATTTTTACTAAATTTTTCACGGTAAAAATAAATATTTATCTTAAATAAAAATTTAAAATAATTATATAATGTAAATGTAATATTATTTTTACAATAGACATTAGACATACACCAAAACTTGAGTAATCTAAGAATACGATAGTTTTGTTTTACAAACAATTTTCAAAACTGAAAATGAATCTTAAAATATAATAATTTCATAATAGCTTTGATTTTTTTGGTCTTATGTTTGTATTAAGTATTCTAAATTTTTAATAAAATTGTATTAAATTGATTAACAAAGACCAAGAATAACATTTTATCGAAGATATAATTTTAAAAACCATAAATTAAACCACATAAAAATAAAATAAAATTTGAAACTATATATTTAAGTGAAAAAATGTTTATAATAAGTCCTAAATAATGGTTTAAATTTATATATTATTATTTTTATAGTTTATTCGTTTTTTTTCACATTTTATGAATTTATTCACATTATATGTTTTCATTTCATTATGAATATTTTACATTTAAAACTTATCACAAAAATAAACAATTTAAATTATAGGTTAAACATTGGAAATGTTTGACATAAATTAGAAAACTAATTTTCAAAATTCCTTTTTTTTCTTATTAATTTTTGTGATTAAATTTCACCATTGGGTGTCTTTTATTTTTACGCGTTTCATGTCGAAAATAAATATTATTAAATAACCACATAGATGTTTATTGTAAATTAAATATTAAAAATTGTTCATTTTAAAATAAAGTTAAAAAAAAAAGTTTTTGTTAAAACTCATGAATATAATATGCAAATGAACATTACTAGTTTTATTGTCTCTCATAAAATCTTATTGAAATGAAACAACATTCAATTTTTATTTTACCGAGCTTATATTTACATAATCAATATTACAAAAACTGTTAATAATAATTAAGGTGTTTAATTTATAAAATATTATAATTACTTGTAAATAGACCATTCATATTATTTTATTACACTGAAAACTTTAATAGATGAAATTTCGTTTTCAATAATTAATGTTGTTTACGTATAAGGTAATGAAAAAAGCGTTTTAATAAATTAAAGTTTATTTCAATTTATTTAATCATATACCAAATAATATAATATATTATTGTAATTTAAACTAAAACCTTGTTTATTTATACACTTTTTAATATAAATGATATTCATTTTATAATCTAAGCAATAAATAAACGATTAAGTGTCCATCATAATATTTTATATAACACATAATAAAATATTGCCATCTTGAATTCTAAATTGGAGTATAGAAGGGAGACATAATAGCTCATCGTGAACTCGTCAAGCAGAAAAACCACTACAATTCATTTAAGTAATTATTGGTGTGAGAATAATGGCACATTGGGTTCACTACGCTAGATTATCCTCGAAATGTGGAAAAATTCATTTTAAGAAATAAATTCACATCGGAAACTGCGGGTGAAGAATTGTCGTTTTGGGGTTTTCTCTCCATTTGTCACCTCGACCTAATCAGTTGTATGTCACTTTCTTGTGTCCGGAAAGTCTCTTTTGGTCGTCGAGTTTTTTTGGCCCATTTCGAAAAAAAAATGATTATCATAAATCCTTAGGCATGATTTGTCCTTATTGTGCAAAAATATATAATACGCGAGTAAGGACAAAATTTATTCAAAGAAAAATTTATCATAAATTATAACAATTAATATTTATATAATTTATTAATTTATTTCATAATAATAAATAATTATAATATGTGGAGGATATGCATTTTAGTATTAAACATGATATCAAGTTGTTACACCAATTCTCAAACTTTATGATTAAATAAGGTACTATAAGATCAATAAAATATATCTTATTATAATACCTAAGCGAGAACGCGCTAATTAATTTTAATATAAATGAATATAAAATAAATTAAATTAAAAATAAAAAAAAAAAATAATAATAAATTATATTATTTTGATTGTACAAAGAAAACGATTTGAGAGTTTACTCGCGAGGTCACAATAAGTTTTATGACATTTAGTTCTTAGACATTATATCACGACTGTATAAAATATAATACTGTTATATACAACAGTTAGACGTGAGATTAAATTAGTCATTATTAAAACCCGGCAAAGTCAACTAGAGCTCTCGTGCTTCTCTGTAGTGATTTTTGGGTACTTCGACAGGGATATCGCACTTCCGAACAGACGGAATTCACGAGATTTTCATCTTCGACCGAACCTAGTCCCATCTCGGTACCGTAGTTGTAAGCGTCGCGGTATTGCTTTAGTTTATCTCTGATTGGTTCGTTATTTTGGACAACACGGAGCGTCTGCAAGAACTTCAACACCCTGTGAAAAAATAAAACGAAGATAATAATATGTATTATAGTCTACAGAAAATACTCACACACAATAAATTATATTCAATAAAAATTATTAAATTAAAATTTAGTTATTTTTAACTTAAACTTCATCACGATATATTAAAAAAAAAATATATTTAATTAACTTGTTTAATTTTTACTTTCTTCAACTAGCAATTATACTAATATTGCCTGCAAATAATATTAAAATATTTTTTTTATTTTTTTTTATCTTTTAATTTATTTACATAGTATTATGTTAATTGATAATAACAATTAAATTAATAAAAATCATACAGTAATTAATTTAAAATTATGCATTATGAAAAGATAGAAAGACGGGTTATAAACTTTTATTGAAGGGACTTTCAGCCAAAAATGTTAATTAATAGTTATTTAAATAAATAATATGATTGGAATTATTAACATTTTTTTTTTTTTTTTTTGAAATTTTAGAATTAATTTTTAAACTATCAGTGTAGGCTTTAACAAAGTTAAAGTTAATGTTAGAACAAACTACAACACAGTTAGTACATATAACGTAGACAATACATAATTATACATAGGTACATTATATTATTGTTCCTCAATCGTATTTTTAGATTAATTTCTCTGGTACTTTATTTCAAAAATCACCATTTTTAATTGTGAAAATTTTAGCTGTTTAGTTATATTTAACATTTATTCTATAATACTTTGTTACTTATTCCATAATTCACTCTCTATCATATATTGTGTTATATTATTTTTCAATAGTTACATAGTTAGCATTAGAGCATTCTTAATAAAAAATACAAAAATCTTCATAGTACATACATATTATATTATTCGAATGGTTTTAAAAATATTGCATTATGCTCATTGTACAATCTACAAAAATTATTTGAACTTTTCACGCGAATATATTGAACTCTCTGTTTTTTTTTTTTTTTGTTCTTTGGCAACGTTCAAACAAAAAACTTTGTTTAATGAATTTAAAAAAAAGTAACAGCTGTATGAATACAAAGAAAAAGTATTTTGTTTTTAAAATCTATAATATATATATATATATATAATTCTTCGTAAAACTTACTAGAATAGTTATTGTTTAAATTATTTTATAACTTTTGAATGATAACTATATGTAATCGAATGTACGATGTATTAAAAATATTTATTTTTATTTTATTTTCAAACAACAATAATAGTTTTTTATAATTTTGTTATAGCTTCAGTCAAGCTAAAACATACAGTGGTCGCCGCTTATTATAATCACGGTTAATGTTATACATCGTTTATTGTTATCGAAAAGTGTAAGTATAGGCTGGATCTATACTTGTATGTGTAAATTATGTCGGTTTTTGAAATCAATACGTTGCATAATATTATCAGTTTGAGTTCATAAAATCATAATTTTGTAACATACAATCAAATTTTTCGTCGAATGTCTCATAATAAAGATAAAAATATTGTAATAAAGATATGAATGTCTATACAGTATACACATTGATATCTAACTTTCGTTCGTACAGCATTAAGACAGTACAAATACGAACATTTTATCAATGAAATTTTAACGGTAAAATAAAACAGACATCGATAAAAAAATATTGTTCAAGTTAGTGGTGTACATACATATTATACATATTTATTTATTTACATTTAATTTTTTTTTTTTTAATTTTAAATTTCCAATTTATACCTACATATTACTTTTTTTATAAATAAATAATAATAAATAAAAAAATTATATTTTTATTAACTATGTATTTAACGTAGATTTTATTATTTTTTATAACTTTTTTAACTTTCGTTTAATGTTATCAATCGGATTATGTCCCGTACCAAAGTGATTACATTAAGCGGCGACCACTGTATTTGAATCGGGATTCTTTCGGGAATCAGTTACTTTATAGGGTTTTGATTTCGATTTATTCCCATAGTTTTGTCATTCCTACTCACTTCAGATTTTTCACATCATACTTTCTAAAGTTATTTTAATACAGTTAAGTTAACATATCAGTTTTTTTCAAGTCTCTTAACGTTAAGTAATACTTCACAAGTTCACATCCTATATATTTTTCTGTCAATTTTTCTTTCACTCATAGTTTTATTATGTATATTTGTTTCAATTCTAACAAATACATGTTGAAAATTTAATTTTAATTACTATCTTGTACTTTACAAAATATGCTGGAATTACAATACTTTAAAAATAAATTAATTTTTATACTGTTTCAAATAATACTAAATTACTGAAAAGTGAAAAGATATTTCAATATAGTACATAAATGATAAGACAAATTTAGAAGTATGTTAGTAGAACTCTAAAATTTTATTTTATTTAAATTTTAAACAATTCAAATAATGTCAATCATTAAAACAGTTCAATTAAAACTATCATATTCCAAGTACTATAAATATTTTACCAAAAACAAAAAATAATAAATACTTAGACTGTTTGATTCTAAAAATATTCAACATTTGATTTGAAATTAAAATTTATTTTAATGTGTAAAATGTCATAATAATGCCATAGAATCTAAGCACTCAAATAATAAAAGTTATTGCATCGATTAATTTTTGTAATAATTATAAAACAATGATATTCAAAAGTATATAATATTAAATATAGAATATAAATATTAATGTATGACTGTATGAGTAATGCATGATGGTTTATAATTCTTTTTATGCAAATAAAGCTTTTAGAATAATCATATCAAAACAACAAATATACTTGATGCCGTTAAACAATTGAAAAATTCTATAGTTACATTTTTTTAATAATAAAACTATGAAATATGTTTAGTAAATATCGAATTTTAAAAACTCAAAGTTATGAAAAAATATACAATTAAAAAAAAAAAAATGAGTTATGGTATAAATTTGTATGCTTTTACGTTGTTTCTAAATATATTACTTTATTATTATTCTCGGCGTACTTATTTAATTTTTCATATTCTCATTTTTCTTGCTACTTACTGTGATTATTATATTTCATAATTGATCAGTCTATCTATGTGTACCTATCATATTAATATTTTTTCTCGTTATATTTCAATATGTTTTTCATCATGCCTAGTTTGAAGTGGTACGGTAATAATATAAACATATTATTAAATTATTTTTTTATTACAGTCGAAAACCAATCAATACAGTATTACAATATTATGCAACGCAATAATTTTATATATTTTAATAGTAGTTCATTTCTATGAAACCGAATTAATTAAGGTTTACATAAATATCTTTGATTCAAAATTAAGAGATATTAGTGTAATAATATAATTGTTAATTTAACATTGGTTTTTATTTCAATTTATTTAATTCCTTAATTTCTATACAAGTTTGTTATTAATATATTTACATTTTTATTTGTGTATCAAATTGTATTTCAATAGTAGTTACATATACTTTAATAACTCGAGAACGATAAAATAGATTATATATATATTATATATTAACTGTACTAGTATCTAGTTGATAGTATCGAAGAAATAAAATTATGATTGTATTTATTAACTAAAATTTAACTTGTTTGGATTTATTTTAAACAGTGTATGTTTACAAAACATTTTTTTTCTGCTAGGTAATATTATGTTATAGGTAAATTTTACCCAAAATTATTCAATTTTAATCTCTTGACTTATTATTAGTGATTTAAAATAATTAAATTTAAATATTTAGGATGCATCATTATCGATACCGTGAAGTCAGACCAGACAACATCATTGTATTTCAACTATTTAAATGGTTCTGCTTGATTGCGTTTTTCTATAAAAGGTTTTCGGATAACTAGTAAATCCAATTAGCTGGAACTATTGTAGTATCTGAATTTCAAGTATTCATCTTGTTTCATATATTTCACGATGAAATAAATACATTCACATTATAAGCTTGTCAGTTAAATAATGTATTGCTCTAAACCATAACAGTATATTATAGTCATTAATAAGATATTATAATGTGAGGTGATTGAGAAATTTAAAATATAAGACATTTAACTAAATCAAATCCTAACCAATCAAAACCTAATAGATTATTACACAAATAAAGTTATCAAACAATGTTAGTTTTTGAAAACATTATAATGTAGCGTATAAAAATATTTATATTTTATAAATTGAAATATATTGATGTATATGCTTAACTAGTTTTACTTTTTCTAAGTTATTGAAAATTTATTTTTAGCAAGTTTTTTTTTTATCATACAAAAAAACCAATTGCGGTGTACGCAAATAGATAATTTTCATTTGAAGAGTACTAAACATATTAAAACGACTTAAGATTTCATATTTATAAATTTAAGACAATTTTAGTTAGTTAATATTCAACTAACATTTAATACTATAAGGTAGATTTAACTTATGTCTCTGGTATGATTTTACAGTTTAAGAAAATATTTAGTATAAAAATAAAATAAATTGTAGTTACCGTTAAGTACATTCAAACGTTTATTTTTAGGTAGTTTTTAAGTTGTAAAAAGAAAATCGTAACATTATGTAGACTTTCACCAATGTTTTTGATCATAGAAATATATAAGAATAACTCGTCACTTGTCATGCAGATTTACTAGATTAGCCATTATTCACTACGTTGGATCTTTTGTTTGAATCATTTTGTATATAACTATGCTCAAATATATCTACTATTCATTTGAATATTGTCAACACAGCATGCGTAAAAATAATTAAATAATAACTTTTCTCTTTCAATCAAATACACAATATATTATATTATGGCTTTAAAATTCACTTTTCAAATTATGAAAATGTTGCGTCTTTCTCTTTACAGCTCTATGATGATTAAATTATCTTCACCTTAAGAACTCATTAAATTTTCTCAGTCTATATATATTTAATAAAATATGTTAAACGACTATATTATCGTACTTAATCTTTCTTTATGATTCAATTAGCTGTGTTATGATATACCGACTCTATAAAAAGGTATAAGTCAAGTAAAAGTTTTACTTATTTTTAAATTGCTTAACACATATTAATATTTAAGTAATATCAGATTATTTTAGTACAACCAAAAACTAAGAAAATATATTTTTAAAATATTCTAGTGAAAATAATTTATATTGTATTTTGTTTTATATACTCTCGTGCATAAACTATTATTAAAACAATACCAACCTGCGTGTTATTTTACCTAAAAAATTATAGTTAATGCATAAATTCTAACAAAATTAATTTTCGAAATAAAATATTCTAAGACTCTAATATTTAAAACTTTAGATTTAAACAATTAATTACATATTAAAGTTTGCGATGTTAATACAAATATATTAGAAAATAGAATACTAAAGAATAATTGTTCAAGAATAACAAAACAAATCCAAAAAACTTACTAGCGGATCTATAAAATAATTCATCTATAGGATACAATTTGTTCTATTTTCTTAATTGTCTAATATTTTATTTATTCTTATCAAGATATATTTACCTACGTGGCTCAACGTATAATTTTATCAAATATCTAGAATCAAAGACTCATAAAAAATAAGCACAATATAGTTTAAATTCACGTCATGATACATTATCTTATTATTCTAAGCCACTGAAACTCGAAAGTATCTAATTTTATTCATTGGTTATTTATTTAAGCTAGAGATTCGTGTTTAAATAACTCTGACATATTCTATCGGACTCTTTCAAAAACTAGAAGTTTATTTGAAATATATAATCTATTTTAAATATCGTTGCATCAATAAATTTTATCAATATAGATTATTTTAATTTTCAAATTAAAATAATCTATATTCAACTTTAAAATAATTACATGATAATCAAACTATATATTTTTTCGGCTATGAAATGTATACGATTTATTACACTTGTATAATACGTGAATACTACTAGATAGTCACTTATAATATTTTATAACGAATTAATTGTTCTTCAAATATTAAAAAATGATAAAATTAATATTATTAAATGATGATAAAATATGTATACAACATTTATTAATTTTAATCTTTATTATTAAAATTTTCGTAAACTTTTCAAACGCGTTGAATTATAATATTTTAAACACAATCTAAACGCATTACAAATATTTATTTATTTTTTTTTTTTTTTTGTGATCAACCATTTAAAGCGTTTAGTATTTTTAACTACTTGCACTTTACTTAATGTTGCCATTCAAAATCGGTATAGTATTAAGCGTCATAATTATAAAAATAAAACAATAAATCATTGAATCTTTGAATAAAAAAAAAATTTAAAAAAAAAAACACAAAATAAAATTGTCATTAAGCAATCGAATCCAAACCGTCCACATTTTACGACAACGATACAAGATACAAGTGAAAATTTATTTAACAACAAAACGTGCTGTGTAGCACTCATCGGGTGGTTCTTCCTCCAATTATAAAAGTCGATTTGTTATCGATGGTCGAAATTAATTATCAAAATAGTATTTCCTGTGCATTCGACGTCGTCACTATAATTTTGAATTAGAAATGGTCTGGTAATAAATAGAAGTGTATACAGGAATAAATAGATATTAGATAGATATATAAGTGTCTATATAATCCGTTAATAGTGAATGATATTGTTTAAAAAAGAAAAAATGTGGTAAATAAAAACACACGTTTTGATGTAATTATAAAACGTAACTATATAATATATCATAAAATAAAGAAAAGTAAAACATCATTAATTATACACGGTTATAAATCACAAATATCAAACGAAAAGTAGTTAATAATACTCAATTTAATGATTAAATTTAAAAAATTTAGTTAGTCTCAAGGGAAAGTTTCATTAAAACTGTCTAACATGCTTGTACTTGTTTTTATTTTTCTTATGTTTCATATGCGCCATACGTTTAAAAATTATGACAAATTTAGTCAGGAAAATTGAAATAATATGTATAATTTATTATTAAAAAAACCTAATTTTTTTAAAAATTAAAATTAAAAAATTGCTTCTTACTCAAATTTTAAATTATCACTATAAAATTATCAAAACGTATTAAAACATTTTTTTGATTTACAAATCGTTTCTAACACATCATGAATTCATCCACAAAATATTTGTTAAACATAAAAATATCGATTGTATGGTTTATATTATGAAAATTTTAAATATTTTGTTTTTAACATTCTACCTAAAAAAAAAAAAAAAAAATAGATTATTAGAAATGCGTGTGTATGTTAAGTTTTTAGAGCATTGAATATTCATATATTTGCATTTCATTCAATTCGACTTTTCTAGCGACTATGTACAGCTGAAACAAAGTTTACCCAAACCGATTTATCTATGAAGGGTTTTAGTCTAAAATACTAACCACTCGATAAATCCTACACCAGATTGACATTGAGCCTAGTAGATGAAATACAGTACTTTGTGTGCACATCAGATATTTTTTTTTTTATGCAAAACTATACCTACAGATAAATATTAATTTTAGGTTTTCGACTCTATGAATTATTGGTAACTTTAAATGTACTTTGTTTAGTTACAGTGATTTGTTAGGTACGCTCGTTATTGTGTAATTATTAAAATATATAAAAAAAAATAAGATGTTAGAGACTAAATTATTTTTTTTTGCGATATCCAAAAATGGTGATATAACAGTGGTGTAGCTAAATTGCATATCTAAATCGCCGCGTGTTTATATATATAAACATATATAAATTTTTGTATTTCATAAAATAAAAATAGAATTGGAGATATTTAATAATTTAGTTCAATGGTAGATGCTAACACGATAACGAATAATGTGTCAATTGTTGAAAATTAAATTTAATGTTTATTTAACAACTTATCCTTAATTATATCACCATAGACATATTGAATACACTGCATTAATGGTAGCTACGAAAACAATAAATCGGTGTATAATCTTGTAACATTATTCATTATTCATAGAAACTATTTTGTTACTTTTAAAAATTATTAATTTTTCGGTAAGTTCACAAATTTAATAACGAATATATTAAATTAACTTATTGAAATATTGAACATAATAGTTATAACTACTCTAAAGTCTAAACAATAACCATTCAATTCATATAAAATACCTGAAATACCATATAACTTAATACTATTATTTTTAAATATAATTTCATATACGTACGATCAATTATAATAATGTAATATTTTTGATATGTATACGTTTGTACTACACAGCTCAGTGAATTTTAACCTTTGTCAATTTTGATACATTTTAACAAACGAGATAATGCAACAGACGTGACAATGATATATATATAAATGTTATTAGTTGTATTAATATTTTAGTTTGTCTCTTTGGTAAAATAATATATTATTTATCATAATAATGAATATTACTTCATTGATTTTACATTCAAATAATTTTTTTATTTTTATAATATGAAATAATGTTTGAAACATCAGAAAAAAAATGTAAAAATATTTAAACATTGATTTATTTATTTTAAATTTATAATGTTACAGTTTTATTCGAATAAAAATAAATCGTTTCCAATATTATTTTGCATCAAATATAATCAAAAGTCGCACTGATGTAAAATATTATTTTTAATAAAAAAAAAAAAAAATGTAATTGCAATTACAATATTTTAGAAAGTTTAAAATAAAAAAAAATATGTCACTAGAGAAGTTGGTAATTTGTGTTGCATGTTTTGTATTCAAACGGAGTACGTTTTACAATTTAACAATTAAATATTATATTTTACCATGTACACAAAAAAAACAACTAAACAACATGTAATTAAGGTCAAAACATATTATACCTATACAATCTACATCTATAGCTTATAGTATGAAGCATAATATAATTAAGGTCTTAAAACATAAACCACAGACCATAGTCCATTGGTTTTAGTATTGTCGTGGGATATTTAAAATAATTACAAACCCTGATAAGATTCTTGCAATAGTAAATACATGTTTTAATCTTACCGTATTATAGTTTAGGTAATAAAGCTTTAGTAATAAGGTAAAAAAAAATTATATAAATGGACTTTTGGACTTTAACAAGTTATGACCTTCCGGAATATTTTAGTTTTAAAAATTAAATATTTTTTACTTTCATTCATTTTTTGTTATAGAATAAGTAATCTTAGTTAACAAATTTAACAGTTTAATCGAATCAACTGTTAACAATAAATTCATACAATGTATGTCATACATTTTATATTATATTTTTGAGATCAATATAAATTCGTTTATATCATATTTTGTCAAATTACGTCTACAATATTAACAAAATATTCTGCAAAAAAAGTTTTAATTTTTGAAAATATTGTATTTTTCTATTAGTTTATAGTGATAATTATATACTATATTTTTATGTTTTTACAGTTTACGATGGAACGTGTTATTAAATAATTATAATTGAAATCGTATCTAAACCATAATTTTGTATTTTAATAACCAAAATCTATAAATACATCAAGGGTCTAAACCTTCATAATGTGCTTGTAAGGTATTATGGTGTATAGTAGTAGCAAGAAAATGTACTACTGAGTAATCTGATTATATTAATAATTTCTGAACTTACCAGGATACTTGTTGTTTGTATTCGGATTTTGCGTCCCTGACGCCCAACTGACAAGCTAGCCGTTCCATACATCTCTCTGACTCGAGTAGGTTGCTGAGCACACTCTCCAGGTTGTTTTCTAGCGCCCTAGTGGCGGCGGGCGTAGCGGATGTATCGTTGGCTGGCTTTGTGGAATCCGCGGCTGGCATCATCATCACCATTTGCGGTTGTTTGGATGACGTGTCAATACCGACAAACTCCTTCCACCGCTTCCACAGTGGCTGCAACAGGAGGGCGGCAGGAATGAGCACAGGGAGCGACAGAACGACCACGGCCAATGGCACAACGAATAGCTTGAGCACAAGCGCCTTGACTGCTAACAGTATGGGTATCTTTGCTAGAAACAGCGTGGCTATAGCTGCCACCACGGACTTGACCAAGCCGAACTTAGCCGTGCTACCAGTCTTCAGCAAGTCGGTCAATATGTTGTTTGTGAATGGTGACGGACAAGACACCGACGTGGCTGCAATGGTTATAAGGAAAACGGTCGTTATAGTTATTATCTTATACATGTATATTTTTTTTCAGATATTTTATCGAGATGTATTGCAGCTGAACAATTGATAAATACATAAAAATGCAAGTTAACACAAACAAATTAGATCGAATAATTTTATTTTAAATACTACTAGTATCGTAATGATTTGAAATTGTATTTAATTAATAAGTAACTGGAAGATATTTACATTTTACATAATAATTAATTATAAAATTGAATTATTAAAATAGTTACAAAACTTACACACTAACTGTCTGACTGCTATTTAATGAATTAGAATGATTTTGATTCTATTTATCTTAAAGATATTTATAAATTCAGTTCTTTTTATTAAAACACAACAAAATAAAGTGAAATTTAAAATATTAATCATCATATATCATATATCATCAATATTACAATATTATTATTATCGTTAAAAAGCTCTGGTCACAATACTGTAATAGGATTTAGTTTAACCAGTACTACAGGGTGTTATAATTAATAATATGTCTATAAAATTAAGACCATCGATTATTTTATAAGTTATTTTAAATTCTATGCTCAATATGTAACTGAATTAAAGATATAAAAATGTATTTTTTTATTTATCACAAGACAAATTTAAATAGTAATGAAACTTTTACGAATTTATTCTTACTCCTCACTCGAATGTGTATCCATTTATAATAAGTTTGTTTTTTATTTTTTTTATGTATAATTGTTACTGCAGTGAGTAATTTGTTTAAAAAAATGAATTATCCATTTTCTTTTTACTTTTTTTAAATAAATGTTAACTATATTTTATAACAAAAACTGAACAAATTAGTCAGATTTTCTTAAATTTTAATTGTTAATAAAAGAAAACTACGCTCTTCGCTTACGCATAGAGAATTTCAGCAATTCAAATGACTACCACCTATTTTTACATGTCATATTATTATTGTATATGTCAAAACTTTGTTTAGAGGATTGGATTTAATTATAATTCAATGTATCATGTTGATATAAGATTATTTTTATATGTTAGTTAGTTTTTGTTATGTGTATCTGCCAAATATTCATTGTTTATATCGCGATTTTAATTTAAAATAAACATTGATTTATTCATTTTTTAATTTTTAGACATATTAAGACACTTATAGGTTATGGGTATGTTTCAAATTTTTTTCATAACAATGATTTTAGTAAGAGTTAATTGAATTTTCAACGCATAATTAATTTTAATCATTGGCTGAGTAAATTGTTATCTATAATAATAAGTAGGTAGTAATTATGTATATTAAAATAATTCATATGATTTTACAGTAAATAAACATAAACGATACTGTAATTTTATTATTTTAATTTATGTTGCACCAGCTTTGAGTTCTATCAAATGCGTAGGACAATAAAACCAAGTGTTACTTAATTCAATTAAAAGTAAAGTCGAATTAGTTACTGTGAAACGTTGAGATACGGGAAAATTAGATGGATGAAAATTTTGAGTTGAACCGACGAAATACGTTAAACGGAATTTAATAAATATATCTATCGTAATATTGCGTACTTTATATTATAGCGTAAACGACGAATGCAAATATGTTTGAAACTTCCAAAGTCCGCGATCCCGAAGGCAATATTTATATGATTCCAGCGTGGTGTGCACGTGTTGGATGAAAATAGAACAATAGGTACCAAGGTTGTGTGAAGTTTGGATCTGCTACGTACCCAACACTCAAATAGTGAAATGTTTGTAAAAGAACTAGAACTTTTACCGTCGATATTAAACGCCAGCCGCGATTACGCACCTTAATTTGGGCAGTGACTTTACAAAACTATGATTGCTGTTCCGACGCATAGTTGTATAACGTTATCATATCATAATATAAAATTTTTCACTGTCATTGTCTCTGGCTTAAACAAAAATATTTAAGATAAAAAAAAAAAAAAGAACCATTTAACCAATGCACCTATGCCTATCGTTTTGAGAAACTAATACCGTGCATGTACCTTCACTAGCCTAAGGGCATACTATTATTATTACTATTATTACACGACGTACTGACGTTGAATATTATAATAATATGAACATGCGATAAATGCGTACAATAAAATATCATATTATTATAATGGATTATTATTGTCTTAAACGATGTATATCAAGCGTCGACTGCCGCGGTGCGTCTGTCGGTGTTCCGGTTTCCCGTCAGACAATGTTTAATCAATTTCGTTATTGTAAGCATCTGAACAAAATTTCTCCCGCCTGTCCGTCTAACGTTGTATTAAGATAATATAAATTATAACTGGCGCACGTGCATTATACTAATATTAATATTTTTATTATCATCATCGTAAATTAGACGGCCAAATAATATGAACGAACTTATCGTATGGCCCGAGTGCGCATTCACGGCGTGCCGAGCTTATCCACGCCACCGACGGTTTAATCAAATTATGACTATTGCTTTTGTTTTTCGTTTTTATCACACGTTGATACTATAGGTGTACGTCGGTATATATCATATATAAATATGTAGGTGCGTATGCGAGTACGTAATAATAATATTATGTACATTGTTGTTTCAATCCCGCACGGGTACGTTATAATTGGACCGACCAAACTATACGCGTTACAGACATACAATGGGAGTTAATTAAATTGAAGCTACGGTCGCGGGACGCGGGGACCAATGATTTCTTTTTCCTACGGTGACGGCAATATACACATAATAACAATATAATATAATATTATACTACCCTCCGATCCAACCAACCATCGGCTCTTGTCCCACAAGTGACGCAGACACACACACGCATAAATCATCGTAACTGTCTGAATCGATCAGTCGACCGTGAACTCACAAAACGTACAAATATATGTACACCCTTTATGTGCGTCTACCTTAATCCAGCTGCACAAAAATATTATTTTTCACGCACCTTTAGCCCGGAAATTCGTAACAAATTGAAGGCAACTACTACCTATATCGACTGTGTCGGAATTCGCCCGCACGTTTATTCAATAATAACCGTTTAACGCATGCAATATTGTATTTGTCATCCACACGCCAACGTAAAATGAAAAATCATAGTCTCTCCCACAGTTTTTTATTTTATTTTTCAGTTTCTTTACACGATAAAAGCGTTTATAACAATGCGATAAGTGGTGCTTCACTGCATTCTTTAACGATATAATGGTAATGTGTCAAAAAAACATAACTTTAATAGACTATAGTGAATTTCGTAGTGATAAATTAGTAAAAACTAGCTATATAATTACAATCGATCGATTAAACCTATATTATAATTATTATTATTATTATTATAAAATTTAAAGTGAGCATGGTATATGTTATACTGTATTTATGTGCTTGAGTCATTCCACTAAAATTGTAATCATACCATAGATGTTATAGAGATATATAGTAATTTAGAGAATCAAAAGACAAGTCATAAACACACGCTTCCGGTAGTTGATTTCAAAGAAAGTTAATAATGATAATATCATGTTTAATATTTCGCTTGAATATTATTTCATAGCTCAGTAAATATATTGTATACTGAAATATTATCATGAATACATTTTATATAATTACTATACTATTAAAAGTGCATAAAAAGGAGTGCATTTCAAAATATACACATTTAAGTAATTTAACTATAAACTATGGTACTCTTAAAATAACCATAAATCCAATCATCTAACAACATAAAAATAACATTTTTATACTAAAATTTTCAGATATTTATTATTTAAATAAATATTGTTTATTTTTAATTGAAATTTATTTTAAGAGTAAAACATGACGTATTATATAAGTTACTTTAAAAATAAATAGCCATAAGTTGCATTTATTTACATGAATAATAAACTTTTATATGAAATATTGTTATTTTTCAAAAAATAATTTAACATTTTTATATTTTATTCAACTTATTATTAATTTATTATTCTACTAGTTTAAAATGCATTCAAGAATGTATGTAGGTTTCATTTTTATTCAATTTTATAGTATAGCAAAAAAAGAAGTTATTTTCAAAGCTATTTAGCAGCATAACCATTATTTGTTAGTAACACCATTTTTAACAAAAAGAGAATGTGTCAAATACTTAAATGCTTTTATTAAAAAAAATAAATAATAATAACGTTTTATATAAATATTAATTTGTGTACATATATCATAGAGTATGTACTCACAGATAATTTTTTTTGACATACCAAAGGACAATGATTTATGATGTTCATGGGTAATCCATTAAAAGCTTTAACATCGTTATTATATAAATATTCTTAAATTTGTGAGTATAATACTATGAGCAAATGATAAATTTAATATAATAGCTATAAAAATTAATAGTATTTATATATTTAAATATTGCAGATGGTATCTATTTTAAAATTATTAATCAATAAGAATTAATTTTATTATAATGATTATACACTAGACTTTAGATTGCTACTTGAACGAATAATAAAAATTAAAATAACCAATTTAAATTACAGACTTAGGTATTATAGTTATAACGTAGATATTTGATCGTGTGTATTGAACGTTTATAGGACCTTTCCTTAATTTTTACGGATTATGTCTATAACCAGCAATGTACTTCTTTAACTCGATTTAATTAATTTACATACGTGGATAATAAGGTGTTGCATAACTCGGTTTCCTTTTTTTTGTATCATCTCCATATCCAGAATAGTATGATGAACTGTAACCGGGACTGGAATAAGCACTGGACGGGATATCAGCTGGTGCAGATGGTTCAAAAGTTATATCTGAAATTTGTATTGTATTTTTACAAAAATAGTCTTATATTTAAAGTATATTTTTTAAATAAATAAAAAAAATTAATCTAAGTATACATATAAAATATTGCAATTAGAAATAATAATATTAATAGATAATATTTAGTTTTTGATTTCCTAAATCAAGTTATTAATTACTATAGCCTATGGATAATATTGATTTATAAAAATATTAATTTATTAACGCTAAATCATTGCACATTTTTCATTTTTTTTTTTTTTTTTTTTTTTTTTTAATGTCAAACAAATCATTTCTAAATGTATAAAATAATTTCATAGTTATAAATTATTATTTAGTTAAAAATAAGTATATTTAAAAAAAATGTAGGTAATCATTATGCTATACAGTATTATAAGAATGGAATACACTTCATCATTGAATATATCAATACATAATGGATGTATTAAATTTGAATTTGATGATAAATAGTAGTATACAAAAAAAAAAAAGAAAAAACGATTTTAAGTAGAGACGGCGATATTTTATCAGGCAATATTTTATCATATCATTATATTGCTATAATATTGATTTATAGGCAATAGATTTAAATTAATTTAAATATTTTGATACACACATTATGTCCATTCAATAAATATAAAAATACTTCAAGTCCACGCGAATATTTTAGAATTATAAAATTCAACATTTTTAAATCAATACATTCATTGCTTCGCTTAGAATCTAAAACGAGGGGCAAAGTTCACTATAATGGTAAGTTGACACGCATCAAATTAAAGTTATAAAATGTATGTTTGTCACGCTGCAACACCATAATATATGAATCAATCATAACCATAATATTATGATCATCTATTAAACCAAAATCGTGTGATATAATTCCTCCCAAGAATTATCTACAAAATAAATCTATTATAAAATTCGTATACTCGAACTTTAAACTTATCAATTTTGAGATAATTAAAAAAATCTACTTTTTGTAAAATTTTACTTGTGTGACAAATAATAAATTATAAAATTGAAAAAATAGTATAACTGTGAAAATTGAAACCTAAGCATTTTTTTTTTTTTTTTTTTGTTATTAAAATTATTAAAAAAAAAAGTATATTTTTTAACTAATAAAAACAAGTAATATTTGATCCAAAATACACGAGTATTTATTATAATAATTGTAACTAATGAAGATTAGTCTCACAGATTATAATATTTTGTTCTGTCATTTGTATAATTTTACGTTTATACATAGAAAGTGATAGTTTATCGAAACAGGTTATTTCTCAGAGCTATCATCAAAAATGGGTTCTGTTAGGTTTTTATATTTGTTTTTAAAAATAATTATTAACATCATTGTTTTTTAATGTTACGAAATAAACACTTTTAATGATAATATTGTATATTAATCCATGTTTCTGTTGATTATGTTGATTATGTTACAAATATTAAGAAAAATGTATTTTTAGTAAACTGTGTTAACAAACTTCGCAATTTTACACACATGTTTTTAAATGTTTACACTAAAATGGATTTATCACTAAGACAATTATCGAGTACCATGTAGTAACTTAAATATTTGTGAAACGATATAAGTGCATTTGAAATTATTTCCAAGCAGAATATATATGAGACATGGATAAATACATAAAAAGTGTGTTTATTAGATCTGTAACCCATTTTGAGAATATTATCGACATACTTATCATGTTTTTTAAACTATTGGAATTCTTAATAAAATGTATTCAATAATGATATGAGCTAAGATTAACTATTTCTCCAATTTTTAGTCTTAATGACTTTTTGTAAGGTGTAATATTTCAAATATGTAATTCTATTGTACATGGCAAGCTATTCCTCTAGGTCATACCATTCAATCATTAATTACACATATATAAACAGCTGAGTTGTATAGTAGCTTGTTTGGATTTTAAACAGTTATTGTTTATTTGAACTAAGAAATAAAAACAAATTTTAAACAGTATGAAAACAAATAATTACAACTTTCCCTCTAATGCATTGGTGTATATGATAATATATACTAATTAATTTATATTTTTTTGTTATCGATCACAGTGAAAGTTTTTGAATTACGGCCAAAAAGATATATTTACATAAATGTATACAATACACACAAAATCATTTATGTTTATCTCGTTTGTTCTAGGTCGGTTTTGTTATTTTTTTCCATGACGCATCCTATTTTGTTTTACAATACTACTCTAATTACTCCTCTGCAGCATTTTTGTATACTTAGCCTGTCCCAGAAATATAACATTCTTTAAAAAGAAATGAAATACTTATGATAATAATAATATAAAGTTTTCTTTTATGATGACTGTCAACCGTCATTAAGGGAGATTTAATATTTCTAGGGCATTCACAATTACATTAACATAATCATGTATTGGTATATTATAATATATATTTTTCCATTAACAGTTATTATTTTTACTTCATATCAATATATAATATATTATACTTAAATGTCTAAAATTCTAAAATATCAATTTTAAATGATCGTAAATATAATTAGTGCATTTACATTGCATTGTTTTAATTTATTCATGTAATATCGTATCATAATTTTACGGTATTATTTATGTTTAATTACTATGTTTTTTTCACGAGTATGTTATTGTCACCTAATAAATATATTATACATCAAAAAAATCCCCAAAATCGCTAAGTATTTAACCGTAGAAAAGTATATTTTATTCATATTTTATATAGTCAAACTAATGTTTTACAACTCACAAACACTCAGTATACAAATATCAAATTTTATCTTTTCAAAATATCTTATCAAAGATTTGTTGCACTATTAAACGAGAACATTGGATGACATATTAACACACATGACTTGGTATATTTTATAACTATTGTTTCAGTAAAATATTACACAATATAAAATTATTTATCACTTTAGTTATATCTTCTATTACTATTAGCTACCTATTATAAAATGAGCACGAGAGCAACAATAGTCTCCATAGTTTACTATTATTATACTCCATCATCAACAAAAAAAAAAATCCCTTGTACTTACAACTGTCACATACTTGCGTGTTTGCTACAGTAGACAGGACGTTAACGAAATGAACAATATAACTATATTTTATTTACATTTCACTGCACTAAGACATTGCGTTGTATTTCTTCTCATGATTTAAAGTGTTTAACACAACAATTTTTATATTTTTAAGTTTTGACAGAATTTGGATGTTATTTTTGTAATATTCAACAGTTATTCTTTCTTATCCTATGAATCATCTTTTATGCAATTCAACAAACTATCTATTATTTAAATTTTTATTATATTTTATTGATTTTCCTTGCAGATTTGATAGCTTTTTGGTTCTTTATATGTGTATTCATTTATGATTGGGTCTAAAGTTCAGTATTTTTTCGTACCTGATCCATAACTAGAGCTTGGTGGCCCGTAACTGGCTGGATAGTTATTGTAACCGTAAAATTCGGGACCACCCGAATAATCTCTGCTTTGCACGGAAGACGATTCAGAAGTTGGTTCGGATGTCCGGCGTTCGGTCATCGTCTCAGATGTTTGACGGTCATCTTTCATCGGCATAAAACCCGCAGGTCCAGTTTGACCAGAGTTCGGATCAACTACGCTGAACTGCTGCAACATTTGCTGACAACTGGCGACTGCCAATAACGCCGCAAACACTGTCGTCGCTCGGTTCATCATCGACACAGTCCTGCAAGTTTAAACTTAAAGTCAATCATGGCACACATTGTTAAATATACAATAATTTAATAATTTTAATTTATCCAATATAATGTGTGTTGTATGCTATATTATAGTAAGTTATAGTAAGAATATATGATACAAAACCTATAAACAAACAATATAGTAACGTAAACTTTAAAACTTCGAGTATAATTCTAAATAATTTCTTACTCGTTAGATTTATCGAAAGTACCTACTAAAAAAATTGAGAATAATAATTTTTATGTTATTTTATTAATCACATTATCCCAAAAATAAAAAGGATCTTGTTTTTTCTTTCTAATCCACATTTCTGTGTTGAGAGGAAAAAATAACGTATTAAGGATATATTACATGAAATGGTATAACCAAATTGCATAGTAGTCATAGTACAATATATTGAAATTATTAAATAAATTGTATATTATTATATTATTATTCTTTTTGTATATAATTTAAATAATATGCTTCTGATTTATTCGTGTTCGTTTATTTCGTTAACACCGAAAATGATAAATATAAAAAATAAATATAACCTCATAGTCATTATATAGTTTCATAATATACATACATTAAACAATAATATAATAATTATTGTTAAACTCATTAAAAAAATACATTCGGTTAGTAAATAAAGTAAGTTATTTTTTGTTTTGTTATAGAGTACCACATTAAAATTTAAATTTTGCTCAGTTATATAAATATTTTATGATTAAATTTTATTTAACATACCTAAACATATTATTTTGATACAAAATAAAATAAAATACTTAAGACACAGCTGTTTCCATAAAATATACGCAACCAGTGTGCATTATTACATCAATATTAATAAACTTATTATTCGTTTTGTATAATTTAAACACTCATTAATTCATTATTTTATTAAATAAAATAACATTATTTTGAGTCAAGTTCAATCGATTTACGGTTAATAACGAACATACATATAATATTAATATTATAATAATTATTAATGCTAAAGCACATTGATGAATATCAATTTTAATCAGTGGTTGTCTCAAGCAACCACTTGAGTAATTTCACAAAATTACACACAAAACTTTAATTATTGCCTACGGTTTGTTGCGTCCTTTGTTACGACGGTTTTTTTGGCAAACGTAAGTGTTCGGGCAAACGTGGGTTTAATACGTGCTATATAGTATTATTTAAAGCCTATTTACTAACGACCTTACGCTATAGAACATCCCAACACCAGTGTGAACTTTGAAATCGATTTACATTGTGAATCGATCCAATCAACACGTTTTCCTATCGTCTACTTTAACATAAAAGTAAAGCATACTATTAAGCATTCCAAATATTTCACTAGTGTATTTCAGAGGCTCGAAAGCAATAAGCGTCGTATATATAAATTATTTGCATTTCCGTTAAGGAGCTTTATGTGGTACCTACAAAATAAAATACAAGTAAACAAAATAACTACCGACTTAAAATGTTGATTTTGGTTTTCAGGCGAAAATCATTACATGAAAAAATGCGCATAAGTTTTAATATTTTATATCTAATACAATGACGTGGACAAACTAGTATAAACACATCAGTGTTAAATTTTTATAAAAGTACAAAGTACATTATTGCTAAAAGGCTAAAAGTTTTAATTCACAAGTACTAAATCTTTCATGATACTTGTTTGGAGTTAAACATTAAGGTCCTCTTATGATTATGCTTAAATATTGTTGTGATAAAGCAAGGTTGCCATTGATTCTCATGTTAACTATAAAAGTAATAAGTAATTAATGTATATGTATCTAAATTTAATTTTGAAATTTCTCAAAATAACTTCTTCTTTTTTTTTATTTTAAAATTCAGAAAACTTATATTAAATCAATATAATATAGTTTACAAGGACACAAAATGTTTTAATATTGATATTTTTTACAAAATAATACTTTTAGTAATTCAATTACCAGAAACAGGAACAAAGTAAGAAAATTCATTTTAATGTTCCATAAAATGTACATAAATATTTAACTCTAAAGTTATTATTTTATAAATAAAATAAAATGTTAATACAATTTTATTACACTTTAAATTATTTACTGTCAGTCAGTTAAATATCAACGCTTATCTTAAATAATGTACTAAAGAAAATATTTTTACAGATAGTTGTTAGTTTAATAACATTCCATTAATTATTAAATCTTAGTAAGATATTTAATAAAATAATGTGTAATAAGATAAGAGTTGCAAAAAGCTTTAGACAGTCTTAAATTTATTATACTCCTAATATCGAAAATAACCTCGTGAGAGGATTTTTAAACACACATAGACCATAGACCTATTTTTCTCATACCCATAGCTGTCGATATATTAATATGTTATTATTTATGACACGCGTTTATTTCTGGTGTCGCTATATGATGTCCTCTCCTCCCGACGCAGTTTAAGCGCGCGCGCCGTGTCTTTGGAACGCAATTTAAGATTAAACCTTTAAACAAATCGAAACGACGGGACGCACGGGGAACACACGCGCGCACGTTCCGATCGCATCGTCTAGCAAGATTTTCTGTTGTTTTCACTAAACGGATAGTTCATATTATAGTGAATGGATGAAAAAAAAAATTTCAAATCCGCCGAGCATCATCGAAGCTCGCGTCCTGTCTCCATTGAAAAATGACGCGATGAATAAAGGCTGATTTGTCATTGTTGTTATTGATATTTCACGCGATGAGCGTTCGGCCGGCGAAAATCTCTCCGCAGTAGTGCCGTGCACAATATAATATAATATTAAAATATTAGGACGCTCGAGCGGATAGAACAATAACGCCACCAGTGAAGAAGTTGCTATGGCATTGTTTCGGGCTCGCCACCGCGGCGGCACTCGGAACTCGGTACGGTAGACGTTCAAACTCTTTGAATATATCACTGTTATTATTATTATTATTGTTGGTGTTAGAGATGTTGTAGTAGTTGTTTGTACTGTAAACCATATGTAGACGGCAGTGTAATGCGGTGTACGGACGTAAATGATAATAATTTATTGATTGATATTACGCGTAATAGTATTAGATATTACTTGCTGAAAAATGTAGCCAATAGCGATCGTCGATCATAACGTTCGAAAAATTATCTAAACGATCACTCGAACATGGTTAGAACATTTTGGACGAGATGCAGCTGGTTAAATCGCATTTACTAGAACGTTGGCTGAGATGCGTAGGCACAAGAAATTAATTTGATAATATTATCGGTATTTCGTTGAAAATTATGCACAGATTACCGTTGAAGATTCCTCTCTTAAAGCATATTATTATAAATTTTAATGAATAATATTATTAAGCTGCACCGGCCACTGGCATGATAATATAGCAAGACAATATATTAATTCCGGCTAGCGTACCGTTATTTTTAAACTGTTTAATATGTCAACTTTGATTGTATACAAATTATGAATTACGTATTATTATTATTATAAACAATTTAAATATTTCAATGAAAATATAAGTAGGTGGACGAACGCATATTTTGATACTATTATCATAGACGAAATTATAGGTACATTTTCTTTGGTGGAAGGGTGATTAAATTTTGAAGAGCTCACCGAACCGAGTGGGGTTTTCCCCCATCTTTTTCACATTCCTTGTAATAACATAATGTTTTCAAATCTATATATTTTATGAATTACTTTTATTTCAATATAAATAGTATCAGTAAAACAAATACAGCTACAAAATACAACCTTTACAACTATTTTAACACAATTTTTTTCAAATGTAAATTATATTATTTTGTTTGATTTTTTTTTTTCGTCATTTTAAATAGTCTATAATACCCCTATGAATATTTAATATTGATAAATTGGTGAATCATTGCTCAGTTTTTATTATTTGTAACTATATATAGATACAAAAAATATGCCATATGTATATTGCTCTAAATACAATATGCATACAAATTATGGGTAATATTTACTTTAAAATGATCAAAATATTAAAGAATTTAAGTTTTTGGTGGTGTAAATGATTTCTATGTACCTGTTGTTTTCACCAATAAGTATTATTGTATCTTTAGTGTTTTACGTGCAAGTATAAATACTTCTAAAATTGAAAACTAATAATAATGTTTGAAAAAACTTAAAAAAATATCTTATGAGAATAGAAAAAAAGAACACAGCTTTTCATAGTAAAATATGAAATATATTAATGTTTTATACCATCTAACTATGCATGTCAATAGTTCCGTCATAATCAGTTATCTTTAAATGTTAAACTGCATTTTACAAACATTATTGGTTGTTAAAAACTATAAATTTATGTATTGAGATTATTGAGAATAGAAATTAAGAACTACATTAATTTATTTTAAATAAACAAATATTGATAATTCATATTTTGATTTTTTTTTTTTTGTATATGTATATGTATTTTATATATATATATATTATTTGGAATAATTTATTTATTTTTTTTTTTTTTGAAATTATAAGAATATAAAAAATAATTTGTTTATTTAAAGTATTTCATCAGTTGTAAACAAATTAATACAACAGAATTGGGTTTAAATATAAAACAAAGTAAACAGAATAAATTTATAAATGTCAAGATGAATAAAACGCTCTTCGAGGCTTAACTTAAATAAAATATGAAAGGCGGGATAGATTATTATCGTTATTTTACTAAAAAAAAATAATATTAATCACCTTTAAAATAATGAAAGATTATTTTGATTATAGATTTATAATTTGTAATTAATTCTATTTGTTATAATTTAGACCATAAAAAAATTGTTTAAACAAATGGTTACAATACGAGTATATCAATATAGTTTGTTTCCAAATTCGTGTATTATTGTGTAATTTATTTTTAATTTTGTACGTAGAATCAAATTCAACTTACACTACATGGTTTTTTACAAATAAATTATCAATAATATTTTAATCGTTTTGCTATATCAATATGCATAAATGACTTATTTTTAAATTCCAAATTTCTGATTTTTTTCTTTGTAAGGAATTTACTCAAATTCTAAATATTGAAGTTTTAAATGTACTGAAAGACCTTATTTTTATATTTGCATGTTTTATGCTATTAAATAGTGTTCTGTTATGATAAAAATCTCTGTTTGCATACATATGATAGTTTATAAACAATTAATAGATAAAAAACTTGTATAATAACAGATATTTGGCCATAATTATTTTTATAATATTAATAATATATAATATATGATTAAAAATTCTAATAAATCAGTTAAACTTTATGTATTATATATAATACCCATGATAATAATACGTATATGTTCAAAGGTAATAATAGTTTGAAAATCAATTAAATTAAAACTAATATATTATTATTTTGAATATTAAGTTTAATAACCAAGAAATTACGTGTCTGAATTTCAACTAAAATGCACTTATATACGTATTAAAAAAAAAAAAAAAAAGTATCTACTTAAAAATGTATAGGAGGATGGATAGTTATTCTTAGTTTAGTTAAAGGCTTGTATGTACTAAATAATACAAAATTCCCAGGTAAATAAAAATATAAATTTTAACTAAATTTTTTAAAAGTTCAGAAAATTGTAGTTTTAATAAATTAATAGTTAAAGGATAAAAGGAGAAATAACAAACATGGTAAATTACTCTTTATATTATTTTTATCTTTAGTTTTCTATAGAAACAAACGTTTTTAATAAATATATGGAAATAAAATGTTATCTTAGCTTAAACAATAAAATCGTAACAATAATTTGCGCATGATATTACAAACCATAAAATCGTTAGTTCAGGAAGTGAATAAAGTTATTCTAGTAAACATAAACAACAAACCTTCTAATAAATTACACATAAAATATATAATGAGACCAAATGTAGAAAGCACAAACATTAATATTTAATGAAACTTTTATTTACGTTAAACAGAGTTTACCACGTAAAACCAATTGATTTTTGCTAGCTTAGTAAGTTTCTACTGTGATTGTACAACAACTCGTACTATAACAAAATGTTATATTTTTTTAATTTCTTTCGACCAAAGACGAGTGTTCGTAAAATACTCATCATGGGCTTAAGTAATTAATTTCTAGATATTTATTTAACCAATTGCATTTCAACCAACATAAAAGTTTAATTCTTTCATAATTACCTGACTGCGATGTGATAGAAAGTTATCAGCTCGAAAAGGATATTTTTCGTCGCTCGATTGGAGTCAACTGACCACGGATATTGCACTCGATGTTAAAGTTTTTTTTTTTTTTTTTTAATGTAGGATAACAAGATAAAATTTTAAAAAAAAACCGGTGATATTGTATACGGTCGCAATACGACACCGCGACGAGAATATCGGGTGGAACGTTTATGACAGGGGAGCGAACTACGACCGTGGTAGTGGCTCGAATTGATGCGGATACTGTTGCTGTACGAATCGGACGCCAATGACGGAAGCCATTTACTGATACGACTTGACTCCGATGATGGATATGTTCGTGAGTTATGTGGTGTCCGAACGGCAAAGCTCGCGGTAACACACTAACGGCTACGAGTGCCGTCCATCGCTGTTTTTATCAACCGCCTCGCCCCGCGGTTTTCGGAAACAAAACAAAACTAAATAATCAAGCATCCGTCCTCCTTGTTAAAATTCCACACGCCTTTGCCCCCGCGCCGTTGCCCCACACCCGATGATAATGTGTGTTTGTGTGCCCGCGTGTGTATATGCTAAAGCATAAGTAGCGGCGACAATATAATAATACACATTACCACAGACACGCACTTTCTACCACGGGGGGAGAGCGACTCAATACGTTATACCGTATAATACAATATTATGTACCTACCTATACATGCACACGTCCCAGCGATCAATGGACACACACACACACTCGTATGTCAGTGATTTTTGCCTACAGTTAATTTGTACGCATTATGTGCTCTCGGCCGTAATTTTTCTTTTTTATTTTTTCGTTTCATTTGTGTTTTGAACCGTTCGTTTCATTGACGGAGGAGGTGCATGTTTCAAACCCATCACCACCACCACCACCGCCACTTATTCAGATTCGAACCTAGATTCCACGTTCGTTTTCAACCCCGCCTTAATTTTTTCTCTCATCTCTCTTGGTGTAACATCTATCTCCGGTTCTAATACTAAACACGCAAAGCTGTATGGTCTTTTATCTGGCCTCGTATAAGTGTATACATATTATACCGGTCGCCGTAGAAAATGACGTATGTGAAACGTTTTGGTAGTCAGTTCTATGGCCGATCGGACGGAATATGCATAACACTCGTATATTACAGTGGAAAGTGTTTTTGTTATTAATCACTTGTATGATACGAACATGTAGGTACGGATGTCAATGCGTCGTGGTCCGGACATTAAAGCAATACGTAGAAAACTGCTCTCGTGGCAACACATCAAAAAAAAAAAAAAGTAATTAGCATCTATTATAGATTAATTGCGCTGGGATTAAAAAATATAAGTGCTGAATTTGCTCCAATACAAATCGTATAATTAACTGCGATTGAGCAGAGAATATATGTTATTTAAAATTAAACTATTTGTTTCACACACGTCACTTAAATATTTCAAATTTACGGTAATCATAAACAATTTTATTAAATAGAAGTAACAAACAGAAAAAAAACGAAAAATGAATTGTAAATAAATAAAACAGCGTTCGAGATAATATCAATAACTGCATGAAATAATACGTCAAAAATGTATAATTTTCATTTTTGCAAGTTTGATAAGCAATTCTATTTTTTATAATATGTACGATTTTCAAGGAAACAATATATATCTAATAATCACACAAGGATATAGTTTAATGATACTATTAAATGCATTCATATTATATAAATAATATTAGAAAAAAAAATATAGGACATACAAGCAATCTCTTTGAATTTTCGAAATGGTAAGTTTTTGGGTAAGGGTAACTCTAATTAGGCCACACAAACAAACAGAGATAAAATTCACCAAACACGTATTTATCTTATTCACACTGGTTTATCTGGTACACGAGATGTCCGTTAAAAGCGTGAAAGGGTGACACAGGTTAAAATAGTCTTAATATAGCTAAATCATATAATTCGGTGAACATTATAACTGTAATGGCAAGTCAAACATTACACGCTGCACATAATACTATAGTATTATATAAATCCATGCAACCATGTAAATATAAAACATATGTATATATGTATAAATGTATATTATAAAATATTTAAACGTGGGGTATTATTTGAAAGGTTGAAATGGAATACTTGTATGAATCCGAAAGATAAACAGTTGTGATGGGACTGAATTTTTTAAGTACTTATACGTGTTATACGTGAATACGAGATAACAGAATAAAATGCAATATGCATAAATTATAAAACTGCAGCTAAAATGTTTATACACACACACACACACACACACACACACACACACACACACATAATATATATATAATACTACTTTCGATACGTCTGTATAGGTACAAATATTATGTTTGATGGATGAAAATCATTTTTGTTATGTCTTTTGGATTTTGATCGGTGCCAAAGAATATTTATGGTTATATAATAACCTTATTTTTTTTTTTATAATATTTTATAGGAAATAAAATAAAATTAGAAAATTATTCAACATGTTTTAGCCTGTATACTCGTAGATAGGAAAATCAACACGTATTTTTCTTTGAGGAGTAATTAAGTAAATTATTGGAAGACACATAAAATATATATTATACTGGTGGTAATAATTCACGTGTAATTAAATTTACACTTAATTAAAATATATAATATTTTTAAAGCTTATACTAAAAAAATATTTGGGTACATTTTAGTAAACATCACAATTTATTTTTTCAATGGCTTTATGTAGTATGTTATTATTGTACTAAGATTTCATCATTATGAATTCATAGAATAATTTCTCCATATTACATGTATATTTGGAAACTTTTGCATGGTAGAATATTTGTTTAAATAGAAACAAAATTTATTTATATACATAATATTAAAATTAATTAAATATAAAAAAATAAATGGTCAAGCAATGTTCCCATTAATAAAATAAAAATCGAACTTTTTTTAAATAATCCTGTTTATTTTTTTCATTTGATTTTTTATAGAACATTTAAAGTTTCAATTAAAATATGTGTTTTATTGAAAACGTAAATATATTTTATTTTTTAGCAATTTTGGTATAACTGTCTTACGTTTTTACGGCCATTCATCAAATATTTGGTATTTTGTTGTATTTATATAATAGTTGATAAACATAATATAAATGTACTATGTAATATGGCCATACAATAAAAAAGTATCCTGTGGTAATACAAGTTTTTGTTTTTCAAAAGAAAGGATAAAAAAACCCCTTTTTTACTGTAAATAATTAAGTGAATATATATTTTTTTCTAACTTGATGAATCTGATTTAAAATTCAAACGAGTTGTTTTTAAGTGATTAAAATGTTGATATTAAAAAAAAAAGACCTTAAAAATAATTTTACGAAATTATAAAATACTTAAAAATATTATTAAACTTTACGAATTATAAAATATGTTGATAATTTAATTCTTATGTCTAAAATTTTCAAATTATTGTAGCTTCCAAATCTTTTAAGCTCATTACTAAGAACTTATTAGACTTAGTATTTTTAATAAACAAGTTAAATAACTCAAAAATTTAGTTTGAATTTCAATTAAATTTGTATTTTATATTTAAATTAAACAAAATATTATTATTTCTATACGTAGGTAGGTACTGTAAATTATTTTTGCACTTAATTCTAGGTACTTCAATTTAATAGATATGTATATTAATAAATTAAATGTGTAACAAAGTCATTATAAATATAATTATTTATTACGTTTTGTTATGGGAAACCCAACCAAAGCTTAACGTTTTCAAATTTTGAAACTCAATGTTTCATTTATTTATTGATAAATTCTAAACTAATATTTATTTATGCATTTATTCACACCATAGATCGTGGTAATTTATTCTAACACGGGTCATATTTACTCAATAATCAGTCTAAATTAAAGACCATGTGGTGTGTGAATAATAATAACATTGTTATTATATATATATATATATATATATATATATATATATTATAATTATTATTCATACTCTATTAAACTTAAACTTCGCTTCTCGCTACATCTCATAAAGTTTTTAGAGTTTATATTATTTAAATCATTTACTGTAATCTGCAAATACATTCTTAAAGTTTAAAAATCATTTAAATAATTTATAACACCTCATATAATTATGTTAAACATACAACATCAAATGGAAATAAAATTATTATTGATTACCATTTGAAAGTCTGTTATGTTAGCGATGTAATACCTATCATTTAAAATTTTATTTTACTGCAGCAGTTTTACGGATACTGATGGTAAAAAAGAAAAATTAAGTATTCAATTTATTATATAGCTATAAAGAAACTTAACATATCATTAAGAAATAAATAACACTCAACAAGAATTAAACTTTCTTTTTTTTTAATAATAATAAATTTAAGTTTAAACTTCAATAAGTATAGACATTGTGTTATTTCGTGCTTATCGAATTATACAATTTTATATTTTTGTTTTATATTCTCAAATGTATTCCACAATATTATTCTAGAAAAGTGTAAGGAATTATAATATACTATTTTAGATTTATGTAAACGTTCAATATGAAGTTAATTAGAAAAAATAAAAAAAGTAAATTTTATCTCCTTCAATTAAAATCCTCAACTTATAGACTTATGTCTTATAAATTCTATTCAATTTTTTTACAAAGAATAATTCAGAATTCTATTCACTATAAGGTTGTACTATATAAAGCGCTTTCACCAAAAACTTTTCACGTATGAAAACCCATTAATCTAATAGAACACTTACATTAAATAACACCAACAGAAAACTTACCTCACAATTAATCCAAAACAAATTACGGTAAGTACATAATATGCACAACATAGTAAGAAATGCATAATATCCGTAACCACATAGCACATAGGTGGAGAGATTAACAAAAATAAATGTTACTTTATATTTTTGTATCAAACCAACTTCAATAAAAAATATAATGTAATATGTATAATATAAATTATACAAATATATATTGTTTATAATAATTATTATTATGTATTTTATTTTTTATTTGATACAGATCGTATGATTTATGAATGTATACTAAAGTAATAAAATATTGTTTTATACATTAAATGACAATATTATAATATTACATAATATTGTTGAATTTCATACATAATTATAATATGTATTAAGCTGAGGTTGGGTATTTTAGACATATTTTATTTTTTATAGTGAATATTTTTTTACTGTATAACGTACATGACCAAAAAGCAATATTAATTTATAGACTAGATTTTTTTGCTATTATTATTTACTGGGTACCTATTATTGTACGACCAACAGCAGTTTTTTGTGCCAAGATATATTTTTTTCTTTTTCTATTTTCTATTATTTATATCTCATTGTTATCTAACACTAGGGTATAAAAATGAAATCATTTATTTAATATTTGTGTAATGTAAAAACTAAATTACAATACTACTCAGATATGTACGAACTACTTCAAAAATCGTTAAGTAATGTTTAAATTATAAAGTAGTATTATAAGCATAACGTGAATAAATGATGATATAGTATGAGGTTTTAAAATTGAACTTTTAAAAAGATATTAAATTATGTTAATGGAAAAGGTTTTATAACTAAATATTGAAATATCAAGTAGGTATCATGCAAAACCATTTTTTAATGCAATTACCATATTATAATAATTTTCTTAAATGACATAAAAATTGAAACTTCTTAAAAATATACTTATTATAATATTTAAATTGTATAAATAAAATAAAAAATAACTGATTATAGTTCATTTAATAAAATGTTTTTCATATAATGTAACAATTCGTATATTAATACAATAATAATATCCAACATTATATTATTTATACTTAATTTTAAAGGTATGTATTTTGTTTACATTGTACTATGTTATATTTTGAGTTTATACTGATCTTAAATTGTTTCATGCTTTAATCTCTGGAAATTAATGTAATAAATATAAAATAATGAATGATCTAACATTTACGGAAGGTAATTTAAGAGTTTTATCTTTTATTTATTATTATCGATTACTTAAGCAATAATGTGTGCCAAACGTAATTCTTATTATCATTTTATTTTTAGACGATATAATTATTAGTATATAAAGAGTATAAATAGCCATATTATACAATTAAAATCTTTTAACAATAAAAAATAGTCAATTACTGTAATAAATGTATAAAAATGATCTTTAGTTGTTAATAAAAATTCATTATACTAAGACATCGTTGACACGAAGAAACTTTATAATAATATATACCTACGATTTTGAAATTTTGATGTTTTGGTGTCCCTGCATTTAAAAAAAAAAAAAAAAAACTTTAATTTGATGATAGCTCATATAATGTACTATCATCAATATTATCATGCAATTTATAAAAAATAATAAATAAAGCTTCCTATGTGTTTTTTACTAAAAATAAACTATAAAATGTCTTCCACATAATTAAAAATATACAATATGATACCAAATATCATTATAATAAAACTTCAAATGTGCCAAAGCATTAAAATTTATACAATATAATATTTTCACATTTATCTAATGTTGACTAATTTTTTTTCAAAATTAGATTTAATTTAACTTTAAGTCTTTAAGATCTGTTTTTGTAGATCATTGACGATATTTTACTTTTTTATTTTAAAGTTTTTTATTTGTCCTAAAAAATCAGGTTCTATCACATACAAGGTTTTTTTTTTTTTTTTATGTCAACGGCAATGTTTCAGATAATGATACATAATGTAGTGTTTTCTCTACTCCATAATTTATAAAGTAATGTTACAAACTTTAAAAACCATAGGATTGGAAAAAAACAATTAATGACCCTATGGAATTTGAAAATTTAAATACAATTTGATTTTTGAAATAAATATTATAGTATTTACTCATACATTAATAAATAATGCTCATATAAGTTAATCTATAACGACGCTAAGTCATAATTTATAAATAAACAATAATGAATTCATATTAAAATAAATAATATATCATAAAAATATTAGTAGTTATTCTATTACATTTTTCTATTTATTCAGCTATTAGTGGTAAGAATTTACTATTATAATTTTTTTAATATATATATATATTTACAGGAAGATTCAAATATTATTTTTTATACAAATATAGAATACTTTTTATATTTTTAATTTATAAGAAAGTAAAAATTTCAAAATTAAAACTTAATATAATAAATTTAAATGTAAGACAAAAGCCATATTAAATTACTAAATATTTATTCTCAAGAAACGCATATTTTCCATTGACAGTGTTGAATTTTCTTTAAGCTATATAATATATAATATGAATGTAAATGTTTTGTTTTTATTATTATATTAAATGCATGTATTAATGCTGATTCTATATACTAATATATCAATACTATTAGTATGATATGTTTTTATAAATTTTTGATAATTTATCTTGATAAATAAATAAAAAACAGTGAATTAGTGTCTTGTTTAAGACATTAATTGCTTATTTTGTGTAAATTATATCATACAATATTGTAATGTAAAATAATAAAAATGTTGAATAATTTCATTATGTACATGTAGGCCAATTAAAATATCGTTGTTGTTAAAACTTTTCATATTTATTACAGCCTTTTCGTGTCTAGGTATTTATGTATAGCAGCACTGTAGGTGCAATTGAATATTAATTATTATATACAATCATCAAATAGAAATGAATAAAATAACATTATTTTATTTTAAATATTTTTTTTTTTACCAAGCATAGTTACTTTCAAATAATATATTGAACTGATAAAAATACAGTGCACATAAGTTTATAAAAAAATATTCTTAGTAGGTATAATGAAATATTATTATTATTTATTTTTCATCACTAGTAAATAAATTAATATATTAATAATTACATTGTCACTCATACGGTTAGGAGTACTAAAAAAATTATGCTTGTCAAAGTTGTTTATCTTTCAGTGTTTAAGAAAACAAGTTATATATCAATATTCGAGCAAATAAATAGTCTTTAATTTTGATAACCACATCAATTGTTATCAATGTTTTAAATTTACGACGATTGAAAAATTCCAAGTTTGATCAGTTATTTTATACGGTGGTTAGAGTTATACGATTTTAAGTTATTCAATACTATTATTCAGTAAATTTGATACCATATTATTATATTCCTGATAATTTCAACAAATGTATATATATTTTCTGATTTCCCTAAATTCCGTCGTCTACATTCTATCATTTCTAGAATATAGATGGAATACATTTCTGGTGGTAAGTCATAATGTTTCTCAAAAGACTTCCGGACAATTTAGAACGATGGTATGAATTTATCGTTACCGAACGTGCATACAATTCGAATTGAATGTTTTGTATTTATATACTTCTGTTTGGCTTGATACGTTTTGGTGAGATGACGCATAATGCAATATACGCATGTTCGGCTGAAAGATGACGACAGTCGATAATGGAACAATACGAAATCTAGACAAATGATAAGCAAAAACGATAAAAACGGATTCTCAATATCGTCGTGAAGGATTAAGTCGTTGTTTCCGGTCAAAATCGTAAAAACAAATAAACGAACAACGAAAGACGGTCATAAATAAACATAGAGAACTCCAACTAGTAACAACCCCATAATAAATGTCAACTTAGTCAAAACGTAGAAATTATGTAATATTACATGCGCATTATTTGTATAATATCGCGGTTTAGGAACATAACGTTTACGCGATGATAATATATTATTGTTGTTGTTGTTACGCGTATTTTGGGTCATGCGTGCTTTTAATCCTGGCGCGGGAACGAGATCCCTTCCGGGGGTGGACGGGATAGTGACGATGGACTCGTGGGCGACAGTCGTCTCGCAGCATCCCCCAAACGCACTCCATTGGTGGTGGTCTTGCTCCGACGTTCGTCAGCCCCGAAGTATCCAAGGTCTAGCTAACCGTTTGTATCGTTACGCTGCGTTCAGGTAAATTATAATATTTTATTTATCTTCAATTATTTTAAAACGGTGCTATTAAATCACAAAGTATAATAAAGTATAATAAAATTATTACAACGTAACCGTTTCGGACTGTGATTCTACCATTGTGGAAATAGCGAATATTAAAGATGACTTAAAATTTACGTTACAGCTATTTTGTCATAAAACATAAAATATTCATAATAGGGGAAAATCGTTAGTACAAATTTTTTTTATTTGGAAATATTTAAAATTATTAATAATTTTTATACTTTTTATAGTTTTTTAGGGGGGTTTTAGTGATCAACTTTAGAAATTCAAATATAACCTATACTTATTTTACAATCACAATATAAAGATTTTTTTGGAGTATTTTAATACATAAAAATCGAAATTTGGACGAATAGTTAATGAGTAAAAAGTATTTAAAGTTCTGTTAAGTGGAGTAATCAACACATTTTTATAGAGTATATCTGTACTATTCTACCCCACTTACTTAAGTTTTAAATGCTTATAACTTTTATAAGAACCCGTAAACTACTCGTTAAAATTCCAATTTTTATACATAAAAATACTACGAAAAAATTTTTTTATATTATGGTTGCAAAATTAGTACCTATACATTCCCATTTTAATTTATCCCGATACCCAACCCTGAAATATTGTAAATAATTATAAATATAACTAATCATTTTAAATATTTCTAATTGAAAAATAATCATAATAACTATGGTTTGATATTTTGAATACTTACATATCATGACAAAACGGCTATAACATAAATTTTGAATCATTTTGTATATCCCTGTATTATCAAATCAATACTCAATTCTTGAAAATCACCGTAACCGATAAGTTATAAGCAATATGATAGAAATAATTAAAGGTGCCAGGTATAGGGATTTAAAAAAAAAAAAAAAGAATATTTCCATATTCAAAACACTGTTTAAAAATATTAATTGTGTAAATGAAAATTTGATTTTTGTTGGTGAATCAATATTATCGTATCACTTGATATTATGCGTGTTCGGTATACAACAATATTTGTGTAAAACCCAAGTTAGTATAAATACGAATATCTCATAATATTTTTTCAGCTTAAAATTTTTAATTGTTTCAAAATCGTTGAAAAAATAGTATTATTTTTTATTATATTTTACTATTAATACACTCTACTATATTTTAGATCATAATCTTCATATTTATTTTGTCAACCAGAACAGATATTGTATAATTTGTTTTAATCCGTTTACATTTATTTAGATTATTAACATAGTATCATTTTCATCTGGTTTAAGTGTTGAGAAGTATAAAAATTGAATTAAAAAAATTCCAGTTAAAATAATAAAAGATTAGTTTTAGCGTGCTTTTTTATTTTTATAATTGGATCTTATTCTATAAAAATTAAATTGCATTAAATTATACTTTGTTTACATGAAAGAAGACTAATATTGTAATTTTTGCTATTTTGTGTGCGGTTTGTGTATAGATTTTATATATAATATTTCTTAGCAAATTTAAGTATACTTACATATTATAGAACAACAGACCGTTTTCAATATTAGTTATACAAAAAAGTATACACTTGTATTTAGAATATCAGATATTATGTATAAATTTTATTACGTTTGCTTGTATTCATTTGTTTACGCCAATCTAGTATATAAATTTTCTTCAAGTATTGTTTGCTTGCTTTTCTAATATTGTTATGATATTTTTTTTCTTTTAAATCAATAAAATAAAAAAATAACGATGAGATTTTTGAAAATATAAAACTAATTACATATTGTTAACTATTATGAAGATGATTGCCTTGTTTACTTATTTTTCTATTCAATTAAAAACTTTTTATATGAAAAAAAAAATAAATACATTTTCAAAAATTTAATTTATTTTTTTTGTTACAATAGTAGTAATATTAAATTATTTACAAGATATTAATTTAAAATATGCATTACATTCTGTTCACTTTATATATTATTTTCAATTTAAATAGTAAATACTTTATATATATACATATTTTTTTTTATCATAAACAAGGCTTGGGTTTTTTCAAATTTTCAAATAATTTTAAAATTATTTAAAAACTTTCAAAATAAGCTCAGTATTAACTTTTATTAATAAAATAATTCAAATTGTATGAATTTGTTTTTATATAACATATTATCAAATTTTTAAATTTTTAAGTTTAATTGTTTTTAATTTTAAAAACTTATCTGAAGAAACTGTTTTGGACAGAAGTGTTTTATTGCATACAGTTCTACTTATTGATTTGAGATTGTGTCTAGAAGTAAATTTAGATTTTAAACAGATTGATGCATAAGTTAGTTTTACAATAATATCTATTACTTTTTTTACATAAGTATGTTTTTTAGCTGGGTACAACCTTAATATTTTCTGACTTATTTCGTATTACAGTAACTAAGTTGCCTCTAGAAACTAATACATGATATAACTACGTTAATATATCAAATTTGTAGATACATTTTTTCTTATCATATGTTATAACAGTTATATTAGAACTTATTTTTATAAATAAAATTGTTTGAAATCTGTAAGTATAACTTTGAATTCTTAACACTAGAAAATTTATCGCAAACAAAAACATGCAATAGATGAACGTCATATTTTAAAATTTGACTATGTGCTACAATGAAACTCAAAAACACATCTATTAATCATCGTTTTTTTTTTTTTTTTTATTATAGGGTGGAAACAATATTAAGTTTTTTATGTATTTTATTACCTTTTATAGAAGTAAACAAATTCAATATCCAATATTTATAATTTGAGACTTGAATTTTTTAACAAATATTTATTTTATGGTTTTATAGATATAAAATAAATTTTAAAACAGTTTGGATCTTTTTATGATATTCATATTTTATTTTAGTGAATATATGATAATGCTTTTAAGTGCGTTTTGTGAGTTATTATACAATTAAAAATGTGATGTTATAATTTAAAAATCTTAGAAATTTAAAACAGCCAACCATCATTATTTTTAGATGTATTTAGTTTTTTTATAAAAATTTTTATTAATATTTTTATGAATTGTCGAAAATTTTTAAAATATAATATAATATTCCTCATAATAATTATTACTTTATACAGCTATATTTGTAACAATTCGGAAATATCAAAAATAAATATTCACAATATTTTTATAGGTACTATATAATATGTTATTCATATTTTTATTAAATTAAATATTTAAACAAAAAATAATATTATTTAATTTATTTTATAAATGACGAATGAAAACAAAATATTTGTAAGAATTGAAAACCTATATCACTACTCAAATTATTATTTACTATTTACAATTTCATTATATAAATTAAGTTATCTAGATTTATTTTAAAGTATTTAAACAAAATATGCATTCACATTATTCTACAATATATTTATTTCAAATTATTAGTTAATAATAACTAGTTTCCAGTTGCATTTTATGAAATAATATTAAAATTAAAATAATTATATTATTATATACAATTTTTTTTGGAATAGGTAATTCAGAATAACTATCTATATAACTAACAAAATATTATATATTTAGTATAAAAAAATACGTAAAAACTTAAAAGATGGCTATTTGACTTCGCTTAGAATCCTTTTTTTTTATAATGATTAATCATTGAATTCAAATATAACACACAATATGGCGACCAACGCAATAATAAAGTACACTCCATATTATCTATAATACAGAAGAGCTACTTTCCTAATTTATTTTCTTTCGATGGGTTTCCTATAATCTATGAAATATGAAATATTAAATAGTGTTTATGAAATCAGGATACTTAAAGAGATGAATCTTTTTTTTTAGTATTTTTAAATTTAATTTAACCTTTTCCCAATAATATTTGCAAATCCGTAACACAATTTTAAAATGTTTGTTTTGCTTTTTTTTTGTTTCAGAAAATTTCAAATTGTAACTGTAAAATGATTTTGTTTAATTTGGATAGTAAGATACACTTTAAGTTTTTGTTATCTAAAATGTGTGAAATGAATACACTTTCAATTGTTTTGATTTTTACGAATTCCTTGTTTTTAGGTATAATCAGTCATTTAACTATAACTAAATCTTTAAATATATTTTTTATTACATTATAAAACATGTTTTAACTTATTTTGACGCTGACTCTTGGTTATAACTAACAAATCTAATTATTTGATTATATACTTTGTACAAGATAAATTATATTAGTTCAAACATATTTAAAATGTGAAAATAAGATTAATAAGATACCTTTGAAAAGTATTTACCTTTAAAATCTATTTAAAATTATAAAAATTAACAAGGGAATGTGAAAATTTAAAATCTAAAATGCATTTTAATAAAAAAATTTGATTTATTTCAAAAGTAAGCATTAAACAGTGTTATTTCAGCATTAACATATTATTTGATATCAAAAAGTATTCTTGGACGATAGTTAGAAAGTTTAACAGGTAACATTATATTATTATGACTAGCACTTTTTAATTATTTTCAAAGACAACATTTTAATATAAAATTTCTAACACTTTAAATATATTGTTGTAGGAAACTTCTTCGTATCACGCTTTAACCACAATTTGTTATTTTTGCTTTTTGCAATTCATATTTTACTTATTGTAAATAGAATATTTATTTATTTTTTACATTTTTAATAAAAAAAGGTTTCACTCAAACATTCAAGTAATTGAATTACATTTTTAGTGTCTAGATTAAAGAAATCATACTATTAATATTATTTTTATTAATCAGCGCTATTTTTGAACCATGGTAGTAGATTGGTAAAATATTATAATAATACCAATTAAAAAATTTACAAAACATAAATGTTTATCTATAACTCACATAGACATTGAGTTATATAATAAATTACAATGATATGTTTTATAAGTTTATTTAATTGATCATATTTTAACTTTTTATCTAAATTTCAACACAATCATATAATTATAATAGTAAAATAAAAATTATGTTTCTATAAATATAAAAATGAATGTAATGCAAA